CGCTGACCCCCAGTCTGTTTTCATTCATGCTCTTCTGGCAGCGTGCTCATTCATCTGAAGGTTAATGGAAGTTGGAGATGTCCAATTCTAAGCACAGAAACAGGAAGGTGGTGCATTGTAAATGTTGTGTGCCAGGTGTCCCATGGTCTGCTGCTTGAACTGAAATGACTGCCTTGACAACAGTTTTCCTCCGTGAGGAGTTTTGAATAATAAACATTGAACTTCCCAGAACAACTTGACCCAACGTTTTTTTTACTAGCACGAAGAAAACATCACCTACGAACATGCAATTCAAAAACATTATTTGCATATAGTTTACAGTCTTGGCTGGTTTGTCCAACATAGCAAGCTCTATAGTTCACATGTGATTCTGACGTGATTTAGCTTCACAGACGGCAACACTATGGTTTCTAACTCATGTGAGGAAGCGTAGGTCCACTGGTGCAGAAGAATGACCCGCATTCATCTGTGATTGACTTGTCAATAACAGGTCTAGACATAAAGTGCATCAGGGCATATTACATGATTATAATCTCTTTCTTTCTGTCTGGTTGGGTCATAAATTCAATGTTAATCCTCACCATAAATCCACTGAGGTGAACATGCATTCCCAAAACAAAAGGAAACTACAGTCACAATAGTATTATGCTGCAATAACCCAAAATACTGCAGAGAAGCCATTGAGAAAACACTATATTTCTTCTAACGTTTGGTTTGTGAGCACCATGCAGGCGCAACATTATTCATGCTCTTTGTAGATTTTGCACTTGGTATAAACACTGTTTTAAAAGAGTTTAAATATTAACAAAGATACATTCTACTGAATATAATATAGAGATTAGTAAGAATGAAATATTTCTAAGATTTATCCAAACCTCTACACTGTGCAGGTGAAATGAATGAGGTACAAGTGCACAAATTTGTTTACTGCTTCAGTGCTAATCACCCCAACATGCAGCAATGTGCAGAATTCAAAGTATCCCTTAAATTCTACAACATGCACAACAATCCTTCCCATAGAACTAAAAACACGTTTTACCTCAACAAACCGAAAACTGTGTGGTAACCCTGAAAGTACGCAGAAATGTGTACCTCAAAGTACTGCATGTTTTTGACATGAATTAGGAGTCATGATTATGGTCTCTGTCAGTGCCTATTGTATCTTCTAGTGTGGTGTGAAACATTGTCCTCACATACTGAGACTGTGTGAGATCATTTTGAATCTGGCTGAGTGATAATGTTTCTCCCGTGGCTTTATTCCTTCAATAAAGCACCATTAATTAGTTTTTATGCAAATCCAAATGACAGCGCAAATAGTAATATCAATGCGCAGGTCTTGTAGAGTCAGAATTAGAATGTCAATTCATTCTCAACCACCAAGTTTTTTGTTTTTTTTATCAAGTGCAAACTAAATGAATCAATAAAGGCCCAAATGAGTGACTCGCCATGTGATGGGGAAAAAAAATGAGGTGTTACCTGGTGGGGTACACACACTTACTGTACCGGCAAAACCTCTTGCAACGTGACTCCTTCTACATGATTAGCAACACCAGCAGCATGAAACTAATCTCTTACTGCAGGAAAGCCCACCGGGTAAGGAGGTGTGAGGAATCTGCGAATGTGCTGGAACCATAACACGAGTGGAAGCAGGAGAGGAATTAATCACTTCAAAGAAGACCAAAATATGTTCTACACCTGCAGTGGTCACATATTAAAACTTCAAATCACATTCACCTCTCCTGAGCAGGGATTTACCGACGGTTTATTGAGGTATTAAGGGGATATTCAAGGGTAAAGTGATGGTAAGAAAGGAAGTGGTCTCCTACTTTGACTGCTAAACTAAAAATAAATACTCTCATCGCCAACAACAAGTTATCATTAACCTCTATCAGTGACAATCAATTCATCTCAGCTTCAGGGCAGGCAGATCCTTTTTTCACACATTTGTCAGATGCTCTGCTGACTCGGGTTCTCACATTATAGTGGAAAACAGGAAGCTTGTGAGGTTGTGAGAGACAGAAACCTCAGGTCATGGTGAGGTGACACTATTGATTCACAATCCTTTCAACAGATATACGTTTCCAATACATTTGTGCTATTTAATGGTGAGCTTTTATGATTTCAGTTACAGGGACAGTGCATTTGATAGCACAATCACACACACACACACACACAAGGCGAAATGATGCTCGACCTAAAATGGACCAACCTTGAAAATTCATAGACATGAACTTTTCCAGAACACTTCAACTTTTTTTAAAAGAACTAAGTTGTCACGCTCCCCCAACAAATGGGAACATTGGTTACCGAGGGACTTTTGACAGCACATCACAACACTGAACACAGAACCAATCAAACCACCAGTGGGGGAGTCAGAGAATTGTTGCAGGATTATGCACCTGGCACTGCCACGTGAATGCGATTCATGAGGCAAAAAAATAAATAAAAAATCTGTCAAGTGTTATTCTGCCGGGGAACCACCAGAAGGTTGTTAATATTCAAGTCTTTGGGCGTGAGCAACACTCATGAAATGGGTTTTTTTTTCCTCTGCAATTCAGGAAGGCCTTTGCATATAGCTGAGGGACTTCTGATCCAATGATGGGTGACAGCCAAAGATAACAAAAAAATCCCCCTATAATTACTGTTCAGATATTGCGAGCCAGCACTACTGTGGATTAGTCTTCCCGCAGCTGTGTATCAGTATGTAAGGTTGTTGCTAAAAATAGAAGAAGAAAAAAACATCCATCTCTTATTCACACAATTTGCAGCTTGCTCACTTTCTTGCCCCCCATCCTCTCCCTCTTCTCTCCTTTCCATCTCCCCCTTCCCTTCCCTCGCTTGCACATCTGAAATCACAGACATGCAGCACAAGCTTCAAAGAGCATAGATAACTTGGGGAGCGCGAGACTGACTGTAATTCAGCACAACACATGCACCGATAGTGTCATTTTCACAACCAGAGAGTGACATTTGGGTTTAGATTCGCACAGCTCTCTCACCTATATGCTGTGACTGATCAGCAGGCCCTCAGAGGAGAGTCACTGTGAACGAGCACCGCAGTTTGACTTCAAGTTGTCTTTAAGTTTGAGTGGGACAAAGCAGCAGAGAAGGAAGAGAATGATCCCCCCTTCAGGCATATGTAAAGCAAAAAATGCAACAAAGGCTGAATATGCAGTGTCGGGGTAATTTCCGTATGTGAAAGTCCAAAAACAAATTGGCACAAAGAAAGCTTGACGTGCCTCCGAACATTTAAGCAGTCATGTCTTCTCCGTTGGCGTTACGCTGCCTGCTGCAGTCTCCACTCTGCCTGGATGTAAAGTTATCGTCAGGAAACCAATTCAATCTAATTCATTCTAAAGACTCCAAAACTCACAGAGAAGCCATTCAAACATGTTACTGTTTCCAAACCAAGAGGAAGGCCAGGGAAAGGCCATTGCTTTCCTATTGCAAGACGGCAGCTGAGAAGCAAACCATCTGTTACAAATGAATGAGAAGTTAAATCACACACGGTACGGCTCAACTCAAGACTCAAAAGAAACAGCTCAAGGTCCTCCTCATGTGGCAATTGAATTGATGAAATGAAAAATACATTTTTGTACCACAGTGGATGAACATGCCAGCAGATAGAATACAGGCATGTGCATACAATCATCTAACTGCTTCTCATCAGGTCAGCCATGAACCAAACGGTGCCATTTTCTGTTTTAGGAATTATGTGACGCCTTGTAACAGAACAGATGGTGTCATGCTGTGGGGTTTGATCGTGAAAAGTAAAAGTGGCAAGACCTCAAAGCTCAAGCGATACAATTCACACTGACTTCGCTTGTATAAATAATGCATATTTGCGCCCATGAGCAGAGTTTGAATGGTATAGATGTGAGTATCATGGCACCCATACCGCAGAGAACCACTTCAAACATTGATAATCATTTGAAAGTAATCCCATTAATTACATAAGCAAAATTAGTATTTCATTTCTAATTCCCTTACAGACATGAGGAGATGAAATCTAGAAAACTGTATTTGTAGCGTTGGTGCAGCATTTAATGTGGAAGCATTTGTTTAACTCAGTTTAAATTAGTGAATAGAATATGCAAAATCTCAATCAACACTTCATTCTGACCAAGTGGACAAACAATATACACTTCTCTATTATCAGTCTCACCAAAAAGCAAACAAAGGGAACTTCACAGAGGCATTTATTGCAAGACTGAATGTACTATATTCTACAGTTGTTCACACTGTTGTGCAAAATGGTTGACTGTAATTTTAGTCTGCGACTCGACGACTTTCTTGTCGTTTTCTTTTTAGACCTGTGGCATGTTCGGTCGGACAGAGATCAAAGGAGTGTATATACGCAGACGCATGCGAGGGACGGGTCTGCTCCTGCAAACCCACACGAGACAGAGCGGACACATTTTCACATCTCTCTTGCGCACGAGAGCAGCATCACAGTCTGTCTTCATTAACACATCGCGGCGTCAAACCGGATCACGATGATTCAATATTGATGTAAACATCACAATGTGTTATGTAATTCTTCCTGGGAACAAAAAAAATGTACCATACCTTTTAGAAAGCCATGCTGCATGAAGTCGTGTGAAATACACAGTGTCTTTTTCCCACAACAGAGAAGAAGCCCATACAACACCCCATAAGAGAAAAGGGCAACATTCAAAGGGTTGAGATAACTGAATAATACATTGAAAGTAATATTCATGTTTCTTTTATTTTTCTAATGTTTTTCCGTGAAACTGGGACACACTTCTTCAACTGTTGCCTCCCAAAACGTATTAATTCTGCACACCAGTATTGCTGTATTTAAATGCCTGTCTCATTATCAGAACACTCTACTTTAAAACAAATTATAACATCCAATACAAAAACGGATGCACTCATTATCGGATCACATGCAATCAAGTCCAACTCAAATCAGGATCTAAGCAAGGTAAATACAACTTTAATATTTGTGCAGACTTTAGGTGGCCGTTAACACTCACTGGCTTGCATGAGCTGACCCTGACGCCCAAACACCTGGGAGAAAGGGCTGCGGTTGCAGGTGAGCATCTCCTCCATGGCTGAACTCCTCTGGGGAGGGGAAGAGGTCCTTCGTCTTCAGAAAGAGAGCGTGCGCTGCTGTGGGTCAGCCTCCGAGTGTATAGGGGGGGGGTGGGCGGTCTGCTGTCTCTCCTCTCACTATCTCAACTGCTAATTTGCCTTTGAAGCCACCTCGCGACCTCTCTCCTAACGCCTTTCCCTGCCGCCTCGCCGCTGACTGCAGATCAGTCCTGTGCCTCCGTTGCCTCAGATGCCGTCAGAGTTGCTGCTGCTCCTGAGCTGACGGGAGATCTGTGTTGGGTTGCTCTCAGCCTGCTCATTAGCGCTCCTGCGGGGCGCTGCTTCAGACGGAGAGCACAGCGAACAGCACGAACAAAGCAAGCGAGAGAGAGAGAGAGAGAGAGAGAGAGAGAGAGAGAGAGAGAGAGAGTGATGAGAAGGAGAAGCCTGCTGCAGAGAGGAGTCTTGGACTCTCTCCCCTTATGAAAGTGAGAACAGAGATGACTGTGTATAAGTGTGTGTATAGCCAATTTAAACATTATACTGTGGCTGCTGCTGCTTGTAGTTTCTGGCTGTGGTCGCCCCCCCTCTCTCTCTTTTGTCTCCCCTCCTTTTTTTTTAATCCAATCTGACTTCTCTACCAAGAGAAAGTGACAAGATGCACCGCAGATAAGCACCACAACATCTGACTTGGGCAGTAAAACAAATGTGGTATAATAAGGTCATACACCCTGCAAGTAAACGCAGACTCTCAGAGTGACTCCTGAGGTCTGTTCGTTCAGTAGCATCCTTATTCGATGGGAGCATGGAAGTCACAGAGAAGGGGGGGGGGGGAAACAGGACTCGCAAGTCCTCAAACACAAGAGCTAAACATAGACACAAACTGAGAATTATTAACTGACACAGCCAATCATGACTTTGTTGTTCAGCTTGCCAGCATGCACACGCTGTGTAACTCAAAGCCAAATGCAGGGCTCTGGATTTTGTTTTTGTACACCTCCACCCTTACTGTTCCTCCTCTCTGTGATCTACTGTGTGCGGTTTATGCCTGCATGGCTCTCGACCAAATTTCTTTCAGGATAATAAAGTTTGAGTTATTTCTCCCCACGCTTACTTCTCGACTTCGGGTATTATCTTCCAAATATAGACAGAGAAGCACCCTGCTTGCGATATAGTCAGGTGTATGCAGCTCTTATGCAGCACTTTGCTTGTGCAGGCAAAACAATAAATAAACAGTACATCCGCGAGTCCCGCTCAAAGCAAAAACTGATTCTGAGCAGAAAACTCAAAAACAGACGAGAAAATCAGTTTCAAACTAAAGGGGCCAGTGGATGATTAAATATGGATCCACATCCTTTATTAATGCCCTCATTACCATGTCTGTTCCGCTGCTGAACAGCATGCAGAGAGGGGAGAAGAGACCGGTACAAAAGTACTTCATCCCAGCATCCTGTTTGCATCATTTGCTCTCACCAGTGATGCTGCGACAGGTTGGTTACCTTTATAACGCCGCTTCCTCTTTCCTCTGAACTCTCTGTCTTATATAAGTTACCGGCGGCAGCTGTATAAGGAGAAGCCTATACAGATGTTCAAATATGTGAATTTTTGAGGGTGATCGGGACAAAGTTGTGCTAAAAAAAACACAAGAAGAAGAAACATATAAGAAGAAACATGCGAGAAGAAGTTTACCGTTCAGTAAAGAGTTCATTAAACACAGTGACGTTGTGACGTTAAAGAATGAGAATCCCATCACTGTCACGTCAGCCTGAAGAAGCAATGCCAGAGATGGTGTGACTCAGCGCTTTAATCTCTCTTCACCTGGAACATTGTGATCCTGACAGGTCCCTGTCATCATTTCATGCACGGTTCAGCTATATGTGCAAACTTAGTCATCACCTTTATTCAAACTCTACTTGTTTTGTTTTCATTTCCACAAACAAGAATCAGGACAGACCTCAAACCCATCTACTGCAGGAAGGGAAAAAATAGAATTTGTCTCTCACTATTTCACTGGATTCAGTTCAGAATTTATATCACCAAACGTTCAATAACACTGACGAATTCAGCGAAAAAAGGAGCTCAAAGGTTTCTCCTCAGACTTCTGGGATGAATGTTTTTGTTTTCGATCCTCTCTGATCATGTGTCCTCGGCTCCTCTTTAGAACTTCCTGTGAGAATTCAACATGCCCCGGGGCTAAGAGCCGCAGCCGTGTTGAGCATACAAACGCAGCCTCGCAGTTTGAGGTTACTGCTGAGCTTGTGAGCGCTGGGAGAAGCTGTACCTCCAGGGCTGTGGTGTGTCGCTCTAGGTACACATGGCACAACTCGTAAGTATGTAAAAAATCATCTGCCAGGCACTGCTGCTGAAAAAGCAGATGAAGGCTGGTCCCTCGCTCCCAGAGACTTGACTTTTATAATCATTAAAAAACGGACACGAGGTGTATTAAATGCCTTTTTATACATTATCTGCATTGAATCTTAAGAGCATCAAGTCAACTGCAAACTTGTGTTCACAATTTTTTACGTGTTCAATTTCATATATATACACATATAAATGGAGCCGCTGGAGCTGTGAACTTATCTGAGAGAAACAAAAGGTATCCAAAGAATCCAAAACCACCGGTGTGGATTTGTCACTAACGTGCTCAACACTTCTGAAGAGTGGAAATAAAAGCTTCACCAGGGGAAGAACAAACCCACACGCCTTTATGTAGGAACACTCGGCAGGCTGTGTACCAGCTCGCTTCACCTGCTGCTGCTGGAGTGTGTGCATCTGCTTTTTATTACAGTGTTGGCTATAACCATGATGACACAAGGGGATCAGGGGGAATTGCTTTGATAGCTCAATGTCACAGACTGGAAATCAGCACAGCTACTGTTTCCAATCCATTCTTCCCATTGGATCCTTGTATTATATAAGCCTGTGGCAAATAAAAGATTCTGCGTAACTGCCAAAATTACAATTCAAGTCGTGCCCATTGCACTGCATGTTGACGAACAATTACATTTAGATTGCTTTTCATCCATTAATGTTTGATTGAGAAAGCGTGAGAAAGGACACTTGGACCTTGTGTCTGCAGACAGTTGGTTATTTAGATTCACCAAATTAAAGTCAACATCCATGTTGAATTCAAAAAGGGATAAAGTGGTCTCTCAAGGCCTCTGCCATGCAAAGATGTCTTATCTTAGTAAAAATATTCTATGCTGTATACGAGTAGACCTACTATACCAGTGTTCAAACTCAACACTTAAATGAACCCTGCAGAGTTTCACCGTCGGTAGCGCAATGGAGCGGTGTTTTAGCAGAGTGTGCGACCGGTTTGTTTATTCTTATGAACGCACACAAGGATGCGAGTGACGCCGGACACATTCTGTTCAGCGGTTTCACACTGTTCCACTGATCTCCAGGTTTCAATAAGGCACCAAGAAACGCAGGGGAGAAGAAGACTGCTGGCAGGCTGGCAAGTAAACATGGACGTAAACAATGCCAGTTTCAAAATGTTCCAATAAATCACCTTTGCAAATATTTTATGATGGAAGGAAATGTTTTAAACACGCTTGTTAGGCCTCAAGTACACACACACACAATGTGTTTTTGGCGAGTAACCTTGAATGTGAAGCTAAGTTTGTTTACAACAACACTCCACAGGGCCCCCTTGAACGCAACACTTTATGCTAAGCTAAGCTAATGACAGCTCCCTATAATCCTTGCGTATTGCCTAAAAGCAGGTGTTTTGAGTTTGGTTGATTGGACTATTTTGGGAGTCCTGCAGAATATCGTCGACGGGGCATCACAGCAGCACTTTTTCATTTACAGCCTCACAGCAAAATCCGGTGCCTCTTTAATTTTTACCGACAAACTCTGCTTCCCTACTTTCGGTGTTCACTCACGTTATTTGCTGCTCTTTTCAGCCCTTTCTACTTTCTCAGCTACTCCGCACCACCCACAGCTAACTTAGCTAATTAAGACTTTTCCCACAAAAAACGGTGCTTGTGCAGATTAGTTCTCCTGAGAGGCACGGTGCGTCACCGTTTGGAGACGGTTCTCGGTGTGATCTCCAGCCAAAGCAAGTGCACATACATTTTGATGCACGTACTTTGATATTTCTAGTTCTGCCGTGTATTTTCACTCTTCACTGGACTCGTTCATTTTTTATTTAACGTAATTTTCCATATTTGTTGTGCAACCTTTTGTTGTAGATGTTAAATATGAAAAGGTAAAAATGGGTCAAATACAAATAATTTTTGTAGCTACTCCACAAAAAGATCCACCGCTTTCCCAGAAAACAGGTCACAGGCTGGATGTCTTTGCATCTTAACACCACATTTGATCATACTGGTGGTGGAAAAAAATGCTTTAAAATGGGGCAGAAACATCCCTGAATATGGATTATCTAACAGAAAGAGCAGAAGAGATGCAGTGGTATTACAAGATCTGCTCTCTATTGAATCCTCCACTCCAGAGGTAAAAATAAGGAAAGTGTGCCACCACCTGGACATTTCTGTATTTTCTAGTAAGGCTCACAATGCAGGAACTATGCAAATCTGGAGTCAAATTCTGTTAATACGGTTAAAAACATTAAAGTAAGGACTGAGAATTTGGTATAATTTCCCAACATGAAATCCGTAGACTTCTGCATTAACGACTAAACAACAATAATGTGATTAATTGTATTTGTGTACCGACGAAAGTGTCACACACACGTCACATAATCTTAACATTGTCTATTTATTTTAAACACACTCTTTAAGAAAGACTTTAGTGCAAATCATACAGAGGAACTGTTCAGATATTGATTACATGATTTTAAATTATTAATAAATATACACGACTCAATTTACACTTTGAAATGCTACAAGCACTTTTCACAGTTAAATAACAGTCTCCCCAAAACCGTCCTGTACATCCAACACGTTGCAGTCCGTCCGTCTGCACGAAGCAGACTTTACCAGTGAGGGTTGAAAAGGCAAAATGTAAAATAGGAGGTACCATTATTGTTTCTCTCTCTCAATTACAGGCCATTGTCAAGTTTTAGTTTGCCAAAATTAACATAATGATAATCATAAGGAAATAAGTACCCTGTATAGCACCAGCTCTTCAAACTAGTAGCTTATAAAAATCAAACAGATACAATTCATCACACTCACTCTGAGATTAGTGACAACTCGCCACAAACGTTTCCATACGTCACTACAGGGTTCCAGCGTTACATTTCCATTCTGTGATTCGTACTGTACATGTGGAATCTATTAAACACACTTCACACAACCAATGACAAAAGGCTTGAGCGCTACGCACAACAGAGACCCAAACAGAATGTTTTTCTAATTTGACAATTTATATTTTTTGAAGGAAAAAAAAAACAACAAAAAACACAAAATTATATTTTGTGACAAGAGTTTTTTGAAACAGGTGCAAAATGAAGCCTGTAAGCGAACTGGGCTACTGTACATATGTCAGGATTTCAGAGGAAGTGCAGTGAGGCCAAGCAGGAGTTCCAACGCTGCTCAGAAATAAACTCTTATTATTGTAAAATTGGCGATGATGCATCCAAGCTATTCAGATTGCACAGTACTTCTGTATCTGTGAAATTACATCAAACTGTTTCCCCAAAAGTTGAAAAAGTATTTGTGTTTGCCTATAAACTCAACTCCAACATGTGGGATTAGGCTCCAGAGGGAAGCCCTTTAATAAAAGGTGATAGCACACCAATGCTTTGTTCATGAGCAGCCTGCAGTTCAGCACACCGAGACAAAAGAATAAATATATGTTGGTGGGCCATCAAAATAAAATCCATGTGAGGGGGAACGCCAAACTAGTTTATTGGTGTTCCCCTTGATGCCACATTTAGTCATACTATATACATTGGATGGCACATAGAGAGAAGTATTCTCAAAACATTCATACTAATACATAGCAACTGAGACAACCAGATTATATACAAATTTGATTTGCAAAGGCTGACGCATTAAATCTACCAATGTTACATTCACACCGATGGTGAAAACACGGACCTTTCTAATAGTAATCAAGAGCGGTGACATCCTGTGATATCCAGAGCTACACGGTGTTGTTGAGCAGTGGTTCTCGTGGGCCACGACCTCCCTCTGCTGGGATTGCTCTGGTGCGGGCAATCGTTGCTTTAGTTGGAACAGCTTGCAACGAATCATTGTCCACTGTGCTCCAGGCACTGTGGCTTTTTCATGCTTTCCGTGACTTTTCCCTCCATTTGACTGCTCAGCAATCCCCCAGTCAGACCCACTCTCACAAACACACTCAATAAAATGTAATCCGAGGCAAAATATATATATATATATATATATATATCGCCGGTACAGGCAATATATAAACAAACATTCTCCAGTCTGAAATATGCTATTTTATTATTACTTTACTCAATTTGTTTCCTCCAGGTTGAGAACCACTGCTATGCGGTGTGTTACTTTTCTATGATCCCGTAGTTTAGAAGTAATCTAGACGTATCTTCCACGTATTCACGCCACTTATTGTCAATTAGACCAACGTCGGAGTTTAACAACATAACCATCCCAATTAAATGTAGCTGTAGCACAAGCATGCAGGAAGAGTTTAAACCAAAAGGACACAGACAACAGAGAAGAAAAAGTGCAAATGCATGCTGAGAATGATTGCCACCTGCTATCCTCTCTGAAAATAAAAAAAACTCAAAGTAGGAAATGAGAGCAGCCTTCCAGCTCAATTCCTCCCACTTCCTTCCCAATTTGTGACATGTAGCAGTCAGATAAACTTCAAAGTGCAAATCCAAGCTGTTGACAGACATTTTATGAAATGAAGGAGAAATATATATAAAAAGAAAAAAAACTCCAAAGCTACTACAAAATGCATTCAAATACTCAGTTGAATGCCTCCACTCACTGCAGTATCCTTAGTCATCCGTCTTCATTTATTGTACAGCATGATGCAAACCGGGTCCGTGGGGTCTGCAGTGTGATTAACAGTTCAGTATCACGATGACACGAGAGTGCATGAGCAGCTCCAACACAGCAGGGTCCTAAAGACATCAAAACATGATGTCAAACAAGCAAAAGATATAGAAATGAGGTTTTGTTTCTTTTCTTGCTAGTAACATTTTAATTATTTATTTCTATACATAACATGAGCTATTTAAAAACACAGCAGTGCCGAGATCTTATTGGCGGTCTGTCCAAAATGGTAATTTCCAGATTATACTGCATATGACCTTAAGAGGCTTGATTATTGTAGAAGCTGTCGGTGTTTTACTTATGCTGTTGTACCTATCTAATCCGAACAGATGTGGAATTACTGTGTACTGTAGCTCTTTTTCAATGATTTATTTACACACATCCCTAGATTATCATGACCATTATAAAACTACAAACTACCTGATGATCGCTGGTGGGCTGCTGGGAAGTCTTTAGGCGGTGGGACTCTGCCCCGAGCTGCTGGTGGCGGCTCCGCTTGCCTGCTCCCGGCTCTGGGCGGGAAGCAGCTCGTCCCTCTGTGGTGCGGCCTGCTGCGGTTTCACTATGGAGATCTTAATGGGGAGTCCTTTGACGCTGTGCTGCACTCTGCCGTACTGGCGCATAGAGGGGTTGAAAGTGCGAACAATGGGGAGTTCGTTCAGTGTGGGCGTCTCCTGTTTTGGCTGCGTGCTCTCTTTTATGATTATTTTACTTCTTTTGCTTGAGAAGACGGTCTGCACTGGGAGGATGGCGGGCCTTTTAGCAGGCACAGAACTCTGGAGTCTTGTTTTATGCTGAGGCGACGCTTGCTGTTTGTCTTCCGCCCTTCTGTGCAGGTGTCCGTCGTTTTCCTTCGTAACAGAGATGCCTCCATCCTTCCTTTTCTTCACCTCTTTAGGCTTCTTGGGGCAGACGGCCATGTGTTTGGTTCTGCTGCGACGCATGGTGAACTCCCTGCTACAGTGCGGGCAGACGAAGATCTCTTGCTGCTCATCCACGTGCGGACGTGACATTTTATTTGACGACGGGGCCGATTTGTTCCTCTGCGGCATGACCCTCTGGACCAACTTCTTCTTCCTTTTGTCCAGCACCTTGAACTTCACGCTCACCGGCGATTCTTGGCTAGGTTTGGACCGGTTGGACTGACTGGGTCTGTTCGAAGCGTTCAGTCCGTTCGTCGTGTTGGTGGTAGACAGAACTCCGTTTTGAGTTTTTGCAAAGTGGCGCAGCGGGATGGGATTCCTCTTGGGCGTGTATCTCCTTTTATCGCTGGCATTGGCACAAGCCAGGATGTGCTTGTGTAACTCGGGCATGTTATCAAAGCTCTTTCCACACTTGGTGCAGCGGATGGCCGTCGTAAAGGTTTGTGGGATGTTGTGGGTGGTGAAGTTTGTGGCTGAAGCCACTGAGCCGGCGGGTGATCTGTTGTGGTAAGGAAACGGAGGGGGCTTATAGCTGGGATAGTGTTGGTTAATGCCAAGACGGACATCGGGCCCCTCGACTTTGGCTCCATCTGAGGCCATGATTTTTATCGTTGTGAACAGTTCTTCAGCAGCCACATCCACCTCATTGTCTTCCTTTTTCACCGGTTTCTTGGGCTCCCCTGCAGCATCAGGCACTGGCGGCTCCGTGGTGACTTTTATCGAGTTATTGTAGTTCTGAGGTCTCAGTTTACCCTTCTCCTCTTCCGTGTAGGTACACTGCTGGCCGGGATGCAACTCCTCCTGATGCTGTTTCAGATTACAAAGATAGACAAACTCTTTGGTACACGTGCTGCAGACATAACTCTTGCCGACACCGTGGAGGCTCGATCGATGATCGAGCAGCGCGGAGGGTTTGCTGAAGAGCAGCACGCAGAACTCGCATTTGTACGGCCATTCATCGGCATGGTCCCCCACGTGATGGCCCAGCTCTTTCATTGAATGAAAAAGCCTGTCGCACACATTGCAGACGAAGTTCTTGGTGAACGTCTGCTGGTGGGCACCGCTCGGTGCGCCGTTTGAGGATCCGTCCTCTGGAGCTTTCTCTGAAGGCGGTGGGGTTTTCGGTGAGATTTCGGGTATGGAAACAGGGCTGTCAGCAGCTTCTTCCTCTTTTATGGTTGCTGGCTCTGCATTGACAACAAGCTCCGGGTCAGGACTTGATTCACCCACAGCAGGACAATCGGACATCGCTGAGGTGGTGGTGGATGGAGTTAGCGATTCTGCAAAGGAGGACATAAGAATGGTGGGGTCCACAGTTTGAGGGTTGGGCACTGAAACGATCTGTTGCTGTTCTAAGTGATTAACAACCATGTGTGTAGGTGCTGGAGGCTCAGCAGTGGTTTCCTGTAAGCTAACTGCAGCGGGGACTATACTGCCTGGGGCTTCAAGAGCTATTGTGCACTCTATCAACACTGCGTTGCTGGTAATGTTGTACGAGTTGATGAGGGAATTGTTTAAAGTTACAGTGGGCGTGAATGGCACTTCTGACATCGCTATTTGATCAGAGAGAAACACGTGGCCGGGTAGATTCAGAGCCGGGTCAAGGGACCGGGAGAGAGAGTTTGCAGAATCTGTAGCAGCAAATGCAGCCGTTAAATCGCACTCCGAAAAATTCAATGCGTTTTCTGTGCAGAGTACCAGGGGCTCGGGAGATATGTTTGGGGCTAGTAACCGGATCGGTTGGCTTGGAGGGTTAGAAATGAGGGTTATTAATGAAGAAGTGGTGGGGAGCACTGAGTGTGAGGCTGGGGAAGCAAAGGCTATGGTGCACGGCGAAGCCGGGGTAAGGGATGCGGGGGATGGAGTCAGAGAACTGGAGGGAAGCGCAAGCCCGTAAACAAGTCCCTCTGCCATGGGCTCCATCACATCTGGACCTCTAAGTATTGTGAAGTCTGTGACTAAAGGGATCTCCGGGTTCCCTAGGCTTACATTATGCTCTGCGAGATTCATCACGGCCGTCTCTGCAATGCATGTATTTGATTTCCCTGCTTTCAAAACTGCCTGTGAAACTAGTTCCAATGTCAGTTCAGATTTACCTAGTGTCTTCCTTTGAAAGCTCAAATCCAGCACTGCATCAGTTAAAGCTAAATCTTCACTTCTTTTGACCGTATTAGAGAGATCCAGTGGTTGCTGATTACAGGAATTACCGCCGGCTGTGGGTACAGGTTTCACTGCCGGCTCCTCCACAGGTGGAGTTGTGTCATCCTTCGCATCGGCTGTTTGGTGCATGGGTGAACTATGTTGGGTCTCTATCGGCCCTGTACTTACAGCGTCACAATCTCCGCTATCTGCCGTTTCGTCTTTAGATGTTGGAGAGCTCGGTGGAGACCCAGTCCTTCTTTTGAACCTACCTGTTCCAGCAGCCAGGGCGGACAGAGAGACGGGTGAACAGGGCTTCTGGGCATCTGCGATGAGGGCAAGTGTAGGTTTAAGGCCGTCCTGCTTCTCCAGGAGCTGCTTCAGCTTCGGAGACAGAAACACCGTTCTTTCCTTCTGCACAGCTGTGGACTCGGCATTCTGAGGAAGTAGATTCTCTCTTAAAGAGGATACAAGGGAGGATGACGACGCAACCACCTCAGACTCCAGTTCAGTTTTAATTTGCGGTAAAAGAGGTGGCGTTGCAGTTCTTCTTCTGACCTGTGGTTGACCAGGTATCTCTTTGCCTGCGACTGAATCTGTATTTAAAACCTGGCTGATTTGGCCGGGGTCTAGAATCAGGGCGTCCAGTCCAATTAAAGTCGAAGACCCAGAATGACTCTCGGGTGCTTCACAGCTACTGACTGTACTTGTCGACACTATCTTTCCATCAATATAAAAGCTGAGATTCTCTGAAATATTGCCGGAGACATCGAGCATGTATTGTTCTCCGCATCCCACGTCATTCTCCAGAACAGCTGCGGGTGCTGCATCGTCACCGATCTCCGTTTCCTGTTGAGAAGGTTCACCGAGCATCCTCTGGAGATTTCCCTCTTGGGCCAGCTGGGTTTTTTCCACACGTGAGACTTGCAGATGCTGCTCGTGGATCCTGCGCTCATGTCGTCGCTTGTTGGTATGCGTAGTGAACATCTTTTCACAATACTTGCAAGCATGATGCCCCTCTAATACTCCCAGTTTGTCCGGCTGAGCGCTGCTGGAAGTCTTAGAGCTAGCGGGGGATGAAGCGTGAAGCTGCATGACTGAGCCCACTGAGTCCAGAGGCTTCATCTTCTCATGCTGCGACTGACCCGCATTTGAACCAAAGGACATGTTGCTCTGGCGGCTTTTGTAAGCGTGTGCCTCGACGTTCTCCGAAGCGTGAATGTGCATGTGTCGTTCTAAGCCTTGTTTGCTGGTGAAATGTCTCTCACAGTGCTGGCAGGGAAAAGAGTTCCAGTCTCTCTCGGTATCCTGGTTGGGATGTATATAAAGATCAGGATACAGTGACTTGATGTCTGGCTGCATGTTAGTTTCCTCTTGATAAATATCCTCCTCCTCCCCATCTCCCTCCATGGCTTCATTGTTGCCAATTTCAGAGATGTACAAGTGAGGAGAGTCCTCCATGTTTAGTGGAGGTTGTATCCAGCTCTCTGAAGTGAGTCTGTCACACCTGTTGAATAGATAAAGAAGCTGATGTCATTCATCAAACGCACACATAACATAGCTGTAGGGCCGTTTAAGGACCGCATTAATTGACTTAAACGTGAATCATAAACACTTATGCAGTCGAATCATTCACCCTACACTGCAATGCAAATCAATACATCACAAACTTATCGTCTGCTTTATCAAATTATCGCGTAAAGCAAACTAATAGCAGTAGTAATGTATTCTTATTCATTAATGACAATCATATTGCCACTACCTGATACAACTCAGACATTCTGAAATGTATTACAATTGTATGACATTATACATATGTTCATGATATAAACTAAATACTATACATCATAACACAATGTTCTTCTTTATATAATCAGTCTACTTTCTGTTTGTTCAGACATAATGCACCATTATTGACGAGTATATATTATGATACTTCCATTACCTCAGCATTTGAAACATAAACCAGTAAATCAACATTAAAGCAATATATAGAATTGTTATCATGCCGTCTTACCATTTTAATGACCAATGCAGAGTAGAAACCAGAGCTGGTTTTATGGATGAACACAGGCTTTTCTTTCTGTTTGAAGAAGAAAGACAACACGCGTTACAAAAGACTACGAAGCCCATTCCATCACATAGCATGACACTTAAGCTCCAACTACAAACTGATCCGAGTGAACAGTTGTAGTGTGGGATTAGTTGAGCAGTGTACTTTATCTCCTCAGTCATGTGGCTGCTGAATAAACCGTAGGTCCTAATTTGTTTGCTAATGTACCAAACAAACACTGCATAAACTAACGCACCAACACTTTGTAACACAGTGTTATAAACAGTAAGTGACTTATTTTTATCTATTAGTTGACTACAGTGAGTAGTCCTAAAATAAAGCTAATCTGTCCCCAGATTACCTCATTTAACATGACATGGTTGCCTTACAACCTGCTACTATACACAGTCATTAGCATGTTATAAACAGCTACCTTTCACTTGTTATTTGAAAGCACAGATGTGCATTTTGATCTTCATGTACTGCTTGGTAGGACAAAATGGCAGAGGCCCATCATGAGTGCATGATTCTGTCGTGCTCTTCCACCTGCTCCTCCTCGCGAGCGCACGAGCTCTTGAAGCATCAACAATCTATTTTACTAAATTATTCTTTTCTGTCAGCTCGTTTTGCATCGGATATTTTTTATATTTATTTATCCTTCATAATTATTAAATTTCTAGCAGTTTTCAGGCAACTGTAGGCACGAGGGGAAACGTAAACAAAGACTTTATAGTTCATGTTAATGCAAAATATCTTTCAATTATTTAAGACCATCGTGGACTGAGTTCCAGTTGCACAAATACAACAGAATCAGTCACGACATGGCAGAATCGAAAAATTGTTCCCACAAGGGCCTACATACTGATTTCTTTGAGCCAGTTTCGTAATACTAACTTCTATTTCCATCCATCTGCGCTGTAATATCACTACTTATTTGACTTTATCTGCCGAACATCAAACAGATGTAAAATAAAAGGACTTATCCGTTTCATTTGACCTTTTATTTTAACTCGTTAACATGCATCTGCTTCACCTGCTCTGATGACGCTTCCCCCAGTCCCTGCACCATTGCTAGCTGGCCACACATCACGTCGTCACATTACTGTTTTTGCTACAGAGGCTGCTAGCTCGTCCACTGAAAGGTCAACTGGCTTTTCTAAAATAGCGCTATTCTGTCGTCCTGGTACGAGAAAGGGGCTAAACCAAAATGAGAGCCCTGTAGCCGTCAAGGTCTTGAGCCACGGCTTCACTTAAGTGAAAGAAATCAGCTGTTATCGCCATTAGAGCATTGACAATACACTGCTAGCTGCAATGCTAGCTCGCAAGCCCTGGCTACATCTAGAGTAGAATGTTCCACTCGACCATTACGAACACTGGCCGTTGACACAAACTGCACGTTACAGGTTCTGTACATACTTGTTCCCCAATAAGAACTGCCGTTGAACGGTTTGAAATATTCCTCTCCTGCAGGTTGTGTACAGTTGAGTTTCTTTTTTTCTTTTTTTTTTTTTTCTTTTTTTTCTTCTCCAATGTACCAACAAGATAATGACGTTTTGATTGGTCAGTGAATGAGGAAGTCAAATTTGGACCAATCAGCAACTGGTTTGTTAAGGCTCGACGAAAAAAAGAAAACATCATGTCAAAAGTCAGCTGTCATCTCGGACTAAAATGAGAACATTAGCGCATCGTTGCCAGCCTTTACTAGTTGTTTCATAAACAATGTGCATATCTAATGCAAGGCAAGATATTACAGATATTCATCTAAGATTATGCAAGATATGCACGCTGTCTCCAGCTTATTTTTATACATAACGAGTTTTTGTATTAATCTAAAATTGTGAGGAAAAAAACCGAACTCCAAATTGTAAAACTAAACTCAGAGCCAGACCTGTGCTAGACCTACATGTTGATACTTTTGGTTTTGATTTTGATTTTGATAATCTACAACTTTTTATTATCAAAGATGCATTTTAATTTTCATGCTCTAAATACATTTGAACCATTCATTTTAAAACGTCAAGTAAGTTTGACAAAGACGCATACGATTTCTAAATATGTTTCCGAACAAACTGTGTCCTTGTAGTATATTAAAAGGGCCTGTAGAGGGCGCAATGTAATAAAGTCTCAATCTAAAGAAGATGGTAATAACTTCAGTACACTTGATTGTTGTGTAACTTTGGTCATAGACCTCAAAAATGCATTTCTGTGCTTATTGCATGGTATGAACATGAAGCAATTTGTATGGTAATGAGTTTATTGTTTTCAATTGTAATAAATACAGTAGTATTATTTAGATTTTTCTTTTTTAATATGACAAATTACTGTGAGCTTGTCTGCAAAAAAAGTTTATTGAAAAACAATATGGTTTCATCTTAATCTACACAATTTAAAGTGCATACACTTCTTACTTGATTTAGTTTTTTATCTTGCAAAATGATGTGGTTAATGGTTGTGCAGTTGATTGCCAATATAAATTCTGATGTTCACGTTGAAGTTATTTATTATCATTTGCACAACAATTAATGAGTCTAAAATCATAGCTCTCAGCTCCCTCCAACAATAGTCATTAAACATGTAAAAAAAAAAGTTGTACAAAATACATTTGTGGTAGACAACGATTGCCAAATTTATAAATTGTAACGTAAACAGTGGTGTAAAAGAAATTAATGAATAAATACTGCATATATATATATATATATATATAGCCAGGTCATATCTGAATATCTTGAAGCCACATTAACATATCCGGTTCACAGCTGTTGAGAAAACAAAGGCAACACCAAGCTGACAAGTTGATGATTAATAATGTGCAGTAGCATTTGTTCTCTTCCCCTGACCAGCTCTCTGTTTTCCACAACAATTGTCAATTGAATCAGCTACACATATAAAAAGCTACCCTCTGGTTTCACATGGCATTATTTCAACCTCCAGAATCAACATAAATGACGTTCTTAAAGAGGATCTGTAGGAGGTCACCAGACCCCACATGTACATTTGTGACATTGTGCAGCACATGGGTGGTGTGCTCATGCCACATGCATGGTATGTCTCTTGTAGCAATGTTGTATGTGGGCTGAGTGGTGTTCCACTTTCAAACTACATGCCCGACTTCTGTGAGCCATAATGAAAGATCATAAACAACGGGCCTCTCTCTACTCAGGCTTCTCTCCTTCTCTGTATTTTAGATGCAGCCTCCCAAACTTTGCTGTGAAGTTGCTGACACAGTGGGGTGTGTTAAATCTACCTACAATTTCAAGTTGACTGTGATCATGTTTATTTATAGCTTGTCATAGCGCATCACTCTGTGCATGCTCAAGGCTCCAGAATGTCTTTCGCAGTTGATGGCAATTGCAGCTGTAGAATTATGATGAGCAGTTCACGATGGGGTCTACTGGTCAGACACATACGTCAAATCATCATATAACCAGGTGCTGACCGCCTGGAAGCCATTTCACACATATGGCTAAGCAGTCAAAGTCTGTCATAGAGTAAGTATGAGTTTTGCTAGATCTGAAAGCAAGTCATTACTTATGTGGCTTCATCAGAGAACAAATTGTACTTTCATGCATCATAGTTGCATAGCTAGAAAATCATTGCAAAAGCTGTGCACCTCAGACTCCTTAACTCTAAAATAGTAAGCTGAGCTACAGTAAGGCCATATGCTGCTACCACATATCAAGTATAATGCATCCTCTTCTATGTAACTCAAATAGGCAGCTTGCTTCACTGCCAAACTTAAGGTCACCATGCGATGCTTCACCTGGTTTGACTGTATAAATAACCCTGGTACAGTATGTTTGAATTTAAAAACAGTGTTTTGAATCATGTAATTCATCCACACCACAAGGTCTAAAATAGGTTTAAAGGGCAACTTTAAAAGCAAACAGGAAACTGAGTGATTGTGAGAGAACCCGAAACAAAGTGTCCCAGATTACATGCGTGGCAGCATATCCTGTGGTAGTGGGCGCCGGTTCGTGCCGATGACTCTATTCACAATGAAACATTCACCATCAACATGAACATACAGCGAGAGACAAAGAAGGAAGGGAGAGGTGGTGCACAGCGTGTCTGTGTATCAGGCAGATCAGTCGGTGTGAAACAATAAGGGTCCCTTATGGAAGATATGTGCCACATGAGGCAAACAAAGCATTGTCTGTAATCCCACAACATGATATGTCACAGGGAAGAAATACAATTTAACCGCGTCATGTCATGGGACGCCAGATGTGCAGGGAGGAAAATGTAAATGTGAGAATGTCGGAACACAAATACAAATTGTACTGTGCAAAAACACGTGATACTGTATATGTCCGCACAACTGTAGCCCACTGTACTGTATATTTATATACTGACAGCATACACACACACACACACACACACACACACACACACACACACACCACACCCTTGCAAATAATCCCCCAAAGTCCAATAAACCCACTGCCCGCTGTCACTTCTGCACACACACACACACAATAAGAGATGCACTCTGACCCCCATGAAGTAGCATGCCATATGTACAAGGATATCGTGCACACACACACACTTGCATACCACACACACCCCATCAATCCATCTCCCCTTTCACTGTCTCCGACCCTCTGCTGGCCACACAGTCACACAAGCAAATTCAGCTATTTACTTGCATCATCCATACTGTATCTGACCACAAACACACTGTGCCTGTCACCCAACTTTATTCGGCTTCCTCACCCCTCCACCCCTCCGCCCCTCCCTCTCTATCCACCCAGCTGTCTGCGTCACTCAAACCTCCACGGGCCTACGGGCTGACATTTATCTCATGACATCACAAAACCGCTGCACTCTCCAGGCTTGACATGTGGCGCTCCTGGCACACACGCAGATCTACACTCTGCTACTCCAATCACAGTAGGCATTCATGTCAACTCCATGAGATGAGCACTGCAGAGTGCAGACATAAACTAATGACACACATGGAGGAAACTGCTCCTTGTTTACACTAGTGTCTAGTCATGTATAAAATAGGCATACTTTGTTTGTATCTGTAACTTCCTGGAGATTTAAACAAAGCGTCCACTTAAAGCCACAAATGCATTTTGCCCAACACTTTTAAAACATCACACGCCAGACACCGGTTTTATAAAGGCATTGGATTGAGTGCATTTGATGCTCTCAAACTGTTTCTGATACGGCCAACTGTAGGCTGCATGACTAACGTTAACATGATCGTAGTATGAAGGTCCTTGGTCAGCTGAGGACTCCATGTTTTGTATGTACATGCTCCTGCATCTTCACACAGGTATTCTGGTATCTAGTATTACATAATATTCCAGTGAGATGATTGACATTTTCATCAACCAAACACACTGAATACTGGAAACAATATACACATTTGTAAGAATCCACAGTCAGTTTAGAGAATTAGCCTCATGCCTGCAGTTATGAAAAGCTCATTCCTCTATTGTTATGCAATCTGTGCTTTCTTTAACTGTTAGGATTATAATTTGCTGAATAGGCACCAACAGCCATCCTACAAATAAAAACTAGTTCAGACCACAGGTTCTGTGTGGAGTTGAGCACAAACTCAGTCAGCTCAAAGTGCCGTGGTATTTCTGGTTGCCACAGTACAGAGAAACATACACGCATTCTTCAATACACCGGTGTGGTTGTCTTTAAGCGAGAAAGACATTTCCTCATCCATCTGTCTGCTAGAGCTGAGACGTTTCTTCCTTCCTCCCAGACACTTTCACAGTCACCTCAGCAGAGGGGAGGGGGACTTTGTGTAGTGGCTAAATTCTGATGAACCCATTATATATTTTTTAGTTATTTATGTACAAATATATAGGCTCATGTATGTATTTACGGACGCAGTACACAACATGTTCAACCCAGACACACACATGGTGGACCACACAAACACGTGTGAATGTGCAGAGCTTCCGCACACTCAGCTCATATTTATGCCTACACACCACATAAGCAGGCGGTTTTAGGTCTGATGATTAAATATGAGACATAGACCTGTGTGCGTTTGTCATGAATCAGACTGGGACTCTCTCAGTGAATCACACACTTTTATGGTGTGTCCTAATAGCTGCCTCTGCTGGGACATTTTTGTTGGAACATTGTGATAGGTCTAACATGTGTTCATAGGCACAGAGGGCACATAGTTAGTGATTTAGATCTCTATTAGTGTATTTATAAGTGTGTGTGTGTGTGTGTGAATTCACATGATCAATTCTGGGCCCACCCAGGAAGTGACTCCACCCTGTAGCGATGCACAGAATTCCCCCCTTGCTGAAGGGGAGAGAGGGAGCTGCTGGCAAACAGCTTCACAGACCGGCCCATAGCCTCTCCATCTGCCCCTCTCAAAAGACTCCATTGTTCCCAGCAGTCTGAGGCGAGAAAGTGAGCTAAAGAGAGTTATGAGGCTCGCCGTTGGGGCAGAGGCGGGGGCGGTGGGCGTTGGGCCACTGCCTAAAACCACACGGAGGAGAGAGAGAGTCAGACACAGAGCATCTCTGTGTGACTCGCAGCCTTCTGTTGGAGCCTTGCCTCAGCTTAACAGCACTGTATGAAAGAGTCCACAACATCACATAAAAAACACACCTAACTGTCAGAGGGCTCAACCGAATCAACGGTCCGAGGCCATATGTTCCTCCATATTTGGTGCTGTTTATCTCCCCGATGAGGAGGGGGTTGTTTTTTAAATCTGAAGCATTACTTAAATGGGCCAATCAGAGTGGACTGCTGCCCCCGTGGACGCTTATAATGGTGTGTTTGTTAATTTCAGTATTTTAGCCTGACTCAAGAACAAATACAGTGCTGCTCAACAATGTGTTGACTCTTAGGCGTTGCAGCGGTAACTACGTGATCTAATTGATAGGAAATGGCTCGGATTATTGAGGGACATCAGGCACGGAAGACAAAGGAGAGCTTTCAGAGTGTTTTCAGTTTTTTATTGAAACAGTATGAACAAAAACACTGCAATTAAATAAAAGGGTTGAAACAAATCAGATGGCACAAACGAAAGGCCTAGAACTGATGATATGTGGCAAAGCAGAGGAGAGGAAACAAAGACATGTCGTTGCAAACATTTGCAGTGTCTAAAGCCTATTCATTAAACATTACAGCACTCATTCAGTGCACATATTAAACGAGTTTGTAAAGCAAGCAGAGCTAAGCTGAGACTTCATTATTTGTACACCCATTTAGCACACTTACAATTGCAAATATAACAAAATAGGGCATTACTGCCTAATACTGTGCACTAAAACTAAGTGCAACTATAAAATGTCATCCTCCTCACGCAATCAGGAGCTAGCTCAATTTAAAGACCGGACGGCTGTTCTGGTAATCTAACTATTAACAAAAGTACTATGAAGACATTGTGAAGACAATGCTATCACTATGTCTAATAACGGAGGGCTGTGTGTAAGCCTTTAGAGAGGAACAAGTCATACAAGCTGTTCTGTCTGGAATGGGTGGCAGTTAAAAGGTACAGTCAATTCACATTAATAATGCACTTCAAAAGTTAAAGTCTTCCTAACTACCTAGAGAATACCAGAGACAGTGGCACAAACCCTTCTGCTAAATTTCACAGATATGTATTAGGTTTTTATATGTCAGTGTTAAAGTGGGCAGAATGTCGCGTTACTCTTGCAAACGAGGGTGCCTTTTCTTTTAGGTCCGTGCTTGCCCTCAGAGCTCATGAGTGTGTTATGTCAAAACAACTTCTGCACACGGTGCTTCATATAGAGTTGGCCAACATATCAGGGATTCTGGCTACATGAGAAAATGTTTTAACTGGTGCTCAGGGGGTGTTTTAAAAAGGTCTGTTTGCCACAACAATAGCCTGCCTGTATGTACTGTGTATTCCATAATATCAAATGCTAGCCTATGCAACTGCAATATATGAGAAAGTCATATCTCATAATGCTGTATACTATATGAGCTGTATACTATGTAGTCCCCTTGCATTGTATATATATCCTGCGGAATTTGTAGCAGTCTCTGCTGCTCGCACCTTCCATTTGTGTTTAATTTCCTTTTGTTTTGTCAGCAATATCCATTTGTATGTCGGCTCAAACTTCCATGCAAATCTAAATCAGTCACTCTTTAAAGGAGAGAGGTTTTATGCCTAGAGGTCAGATAATCCCCTACCTTTCTTTCTCTCTTTTTTCTTAACAAAATGCTTTTAAAAAGGCCTGAAATTCCTAGCTACATCCTGCCGTCACCTTGTTTTGTTCTCTCCTAGGGAGTAGGGGGAGGGAGCCTTTCTAATCAGCGGCACTTAGAGGGGTCAGGGATGTGGAAGGGGGAGGTGAGGATGTTTGCTCATGTACCCCTCTTGTCTCACATTCATACACTTCATACATTAACACACACGAGCCTCCCTCCCGCTCTTTTTTTGGCAACAGTCCAGAGTCATGGTTCGATTAGTTTAGTTCTGGTATCGTGCTTGTTTTAATGGTCGCGAATGATGTCACAGTTCAGTAGTTCAGAATTTCCAGAACTTTGTGCGCTCCTGCTGCTTGGCCGACTTTTTCCTCAAGGGCTGTGGGATAAGAGAGAGAGAGAGAGAGAGAGAGAGAGAGAGAGAGAGAGAGTCAGACAGTGGATGGAAAAGGGAGATCGTTGAATCTACAGTAAGTTACAGTAAGTACGGAAGCACTAAACGGCCATGATTTCTAATATGGTTATCTCAAGATCACTAGTTGATTATCTCATGATCTCGAAAAAACATGCTTCGTTATCTTGAGATTACAAAATAATTAATTCGATATCATGAGAAAAAAGTTGTTTTCTCTTATTACTTAAAATGTTTGGGTCAAATCAGCCGACTGTAAATGTTTTCAAATGGCCTAGATTGAGCTGACAGTGAAAAACTGAAATGTCTTCTGATCTGAAAATAAATGTGTCTATACCTCCCCTCGATCTGATTTGACCCAAACATTATAAAAGAAGAAAGAAAGAACAACCCTTTGTTTTCACGTAATAACAAGTTCATTATCTTGTTTTGTTTTTTTAGATAACAAAGTTCATTTTCTTGAGATCACGAGATAATCAAATTGTGATCTTGAGATAACGATATTAAAAATGTTTGAATTATGTCCGTTTAGGGCTTCCGTAGTTTGGTATCTGAGGCTCAATTTATATTAAAGTTTATTAATCTGTACACTGAGTTTAGTGTCATTTAATGGTGCACATTTTAATTTAACATTGACAACAATATGGATGGTGAAAAAAAAGCTGTTTTTTAGATTTAATTAAAAGATTAAAGATGTAGGTCGATATACAAAAAAGAAACAACAAAAGGTTTACATAAGAGGCGTGTTTATCAAAACCTTTAAAAGAGAGACATTTTGTTTTAAAGCCAGGTTGTATGGGAGTTGACAAGATTAGTCTTCGGACAACAAGTAGCTTAAGTCAGCGCAGATCTTAAGACGATATACTCTGAAATAAACCTTCATTTTAAAATAGACTGATAATTAGTTCCTGAGACAAAAAACAAAAACAGAAGTTTAACACTTTGTGTTGCTGCCCCACTTCTGACAAACACAATCCCTCTGTTTGTAGTGATCAAATCAAGCTGTTAACATAAAACAAGCTACTTGATGACTGCTGGCCACATCGCCAGACACAAAGTCAATAAACAAGCTCAAGCCGCTTGTCAGCATGAATGCCCAATTTTCCTCATGAGGCCATGGGACTGTTTGTCAGCAGAAGCAGCAACAAGCATCAAACTTTGTCTGTGTTTTTTTTTGGGGGGGGGGGGACGACATCTGTTACACATCTGTAAATTAGGACCCTGATGGGCTTGAAGGGGTTAAAGTGATTAGCTGAAGGAATCAAATAGAGAAATTTACAGAAACCATAACATCTTTTTTCGCGGGTTTTTTGCTCTTTGCAGACCTGTGACACAAGAAACATTCATCATTAGCATCATGAACAGCAGAGACCGACTATGGCTCCGCAGCTTGTGTTGGGCATGCCAGGTCTGCTTATCACACAGAACAGCTCTCTGTCCAGGATCCATTACATCACTGCCCGTGCTATTTCATCGTCGGATGTGTCAGTGATGACTAAAAGCTCAGGCTGTTTTGTTCGCTCCATATTTAGAGGACGCCAGAGGTGATGACTCACTACACAACATCAGGATAACTTCCAGCATTCACATGGATTCAAGCTGTTTGTGTGTGTGTGTGTGTGTGTGTGTGTGTGTGTGTGTGTGTGTGTAACCACCATTAAAGACGAGGTACTTACGAGTATTTTCCCATCCTCCTCACCACAGCGATCACAACGGCGATGACGATGACCATTGCCAACAGAGCGCCAATCACGATGCCGACTACCTGGCCAGAACTCAGGCCCTCTGTGGGACGGAAAGACAAGAGTCAGCACTTATTTTCAGACTTCAGTTGGATTTTGAGATGACTAGTTTTAATGTTATATGTAGAACCAGTGACAGTTTGATGGGATATTAAGAATGAATCAACACTAAGAATGAATCAAATGTCATCTTTCTATCTAAGAGTGGATTAATAGCCTCTGATTAACACAGAATGACATGTGAGCGAAAGATGGAAGAAAGTAATATTTGGAGAGATTTAAGGCTTGCATGTGACTGTTAAACCCTTTATGGCACTGCCAAACACACTCACCTCCACATTAGGCTGCCTGTCGTATGATTTCTGTCAATAATAACACCTGACTTCAAACTGACCACCAGCTACCATCCCACACATTCCTCACCCTCTGTGCCGTCTTCAACGACCACGTCTTCTCCCGTCCCTGCTTTGGCAGCATCCGTCGGTTGGACCGCACCTTCTGCTGCATCAGTGGGGCCTGTGTTCTCCACTACAGGACGGCCAGTGATAATGTGTCCTGGTGCTGAAGTAGCAGCGGCAGAGGCTTCTGTTTCAACGACGTCCTCTTCAGTAATGAATGTAACGGCGGGCGTCGCCGCCTCGGTGACGACTTCTGTTGCAGCGACTCCATGTGTAGCGACTTCTGTAACGACTACTTCTGCGGCTGCCTTCGGAACGGTTGCAGGAGGACCAGTGATAATAGTTAGGTCCGCTTCAGGAACCTCTGTAACTGTAGGTACGATGTGTGCTACAGATTCGGTGATCCTAGCATCAAGCCATTCAGGGATCTCTGTGGGGCCTGGGGAGAGAGGTCACAGATGTGTTCACATGCAGGTATGGGAGAATACAATCGGTTTCTGTGACTGTCAAGCTGTTTTTTGTGGATGATTTGTATATATTTTACACTGACAGATTCATTAAAATTCATGGTTAATTTCCTGAAAAGTGTGACTATATGAAGGGACAACACATTGGTACATTGGATGCCCCTTGTCATAGCGACCCCGTACAGCGTTGTTCTGCCTCTTGGCCGGTTACATTACGTCCAGACACTCTTTGGTAACACTCCCATCACCAGCATCGTGACAGCACAACCCGCACACCCCGTGACTTCATAAAATCCACATCCCTCCCCCCCTCCCCTCCTCCACCCCTCCATCCTGTCTTTAAGGCTCTGTGTTTGCATGCTGGCATGCCACATCCTCTGCCTCATTTCCTGTGGAGTGATCTGCCTGTGACGAGAGCGCGGGAAGGCTTGTCAACCCTCAGCCTCTTAACATGTGGAGGGTGCGGGGTTGATCAACGCCCGATCGTGAGAGAGACACCACAAAGCGGAAGATTTGCAGTTTCAGAAAGACTCAGGCAGGTTTGATGAAATGGTGGACTGAACACCTTGAGGAAATGTCAGCCATATATTTTGAAAGCATTCGTAGCTTTTGTTTCTCTCTCTTTATTAAAAAAAAGATAGGTGGAATTATTGTATAATATCAATCTCGAGTAACGATTTTGAATGATAACTATGTAAAATCAAGTTTTTGACAGAGCTCAAAAGACCTTCAGTGCTGGCAGTAAAATGGAGGCTCCCATTTTGTATTTACCATTTGCCAAAAGACATGTATTTATCCTTGTGTCTCTCATCAAGGACTGGACTATGAAGCAGCCAGGGCTCAACCTAATCATTTCCCTCCAATAACCCCACGTTCAACATCCTCGTAGCCACAACTGAAAGCGTTGCTTGGACAGCACTGCTTCAAAATTAAGGAGGCAGATTTCAATGTGGCACCAAAATTACGGTCTACAGTTAACTTTCCACTGACAAGATGTTGGCCTGAAAATCGCTTCTTCTTTCCCTTTAAAACTACTTCTCCCTGAAAACACTCTTACTGCAGAGACCCGCGAGTCTTCTAATCTTAGCGTCTGACATCATGCTCTCTCTCCATCTCCATTTTCTCCAATTGTTCTGAATACTTGAAATAATAGAGAATACTTTACAAGGGTAAAAATAACCTGGAATGGTCTAACAACCGGTGCAGTTATTCCTAGTCCTGTGCTGGCTTGCGTGTTTCATTAGCAACAGGCGGGATAAATATAACAAAGTATTTGTTCCCACTGTGGCAGAGTACTGAAGGGGGTTTTCAAAAGACGACTCACGTCTGGTTGGTTAGGAAAGTCTGTAAGTGATGATAAAACGGCCTGCGCTTCACAGAGCATGGCCGTACGCTGGGTAATCACCTCCTCCTCCAACAATTGTTTCATTATGTGTACAGTTCCCACAATTAGCTCTGAGTAGTATTTCCTCCCCACTGTGCTGAGTATCCTGGGTGAACACAGCTGCTTAGTGAGTAACACAGTAAGACTGTTGCAGTCTAGGTCCCCTCTCCTCTCTTTCCTTTTAACTTCTTGCCCGTCCTCACGTTCATGACCCTGCCACTCCCTAAGGATAGCTTTTGTTGCAGCTGAAACCTTTGAGAAGGCTGAATCCCCGGAGAGAGAGAAAGGGAAAGCAATAGGGTGGAGGGGAGCTCTGAGGGGAACAGCCCCGGGTCCCTTCTGATGCTTGATTTCATTGTGAACATGGTCTGTCTCTGGTTTGGCGTCTCTGCTCACAGCGAGATGTGTGTAGTGGTTAGCGTGTAAGTGACCCTCTGTTAAACCTCAGGGGGGTCGGAGCACGGGATCAGAATCAGAATAGGACCCCTGAAGCTGGTGAGGACTTCTACCAACACGAGGGGGTTTGAGTCTGGGTCAACCAGTCAAAGATGTTTTTAGATATGTGAGCACCGTGGAAACTCATTAAAAGCTCAGAACTTAAGGGGACACTGCGAGGAAACTCAGATCCATGCACCCGTCAGCAAAAGCAGTTTAAGTTTTTTCCTTCCATTCTTTCCTCCTAGACTGAGAACGTTTACGTAACTGCGGCGTTATTATTCCAAATGTTTGGTGGGTGATTTTACCCACGATTACATCATTCTGGCCACATGCTCTCTCACATCCATTTCCATGTAAAGCATGAAAGAGGCTGAAATCATCAACACTTAACAAGCGTAAAAGTGCAAGTGAGTTCATGCTGAATGTTTTTGTGTGTGTGTGTGTAAACCTATGGCTGTCTGACTGCGCCTTAATAAAGGGTTGATTCATTGAAATTGCGAAACACACTTTCTCACTTCAAATTTCTCACTCATTATGGAAAAGTTAAGACGAGGTAAGCACAAGTAGAAAACAACTGGTGATGGTGCTTTCTGTAATAACATGTCAGAAAGTAATTCAAATAACAATGGAGTCATTGTGACTGTGAATGATTTAAACATTTCTCTTAACTAAGGTTTATGGACGGGATGTAGATATACAGGGAGGGACATGAAGGCGTAAAAGGCAAAAAAAAGGGTTAAAAGTAAGAGAAGTTGTACAGGAACACAGCAAGAAGCTGTGGAGGCACCCGTGTGGGGCTTCACTCTTGCCAGGCATACATAAAACCTGCAGAGAGAGTGAAAAGAGTGAGGGAGGGACACAACGATATACGAGGGAGTAGCAGCTTCCATCCATTACGATCACAATCAGCTGTCACTGAGGCCCCCCGTTTGTGTGTGTGTGTGTGTGTGTGTGTGTGTGTGTGTGAGAGAGCTACTAATTCACAGTCCTGTGTGGGAGGGTAAGGGTCCGTGCAGACGGTGTGAGGGAGTGTGTCCACCTTTGGAGCCCAAGAATGTTTTCGCCGCACTGGAGGAGGGAAATGTGAGTGAGAAATTGGCGCCCTGCCCATCTCAACGCACTTTTGACGAGATGCCGCACAGCATAGCCTCCACTGCTCAACCAGTAGGAGTCAGCTGTGGAGATACTGGGGCGTGCCATGCACTGCGCACTGGGGATTTTAAGCAGGAGACAGGCTGGAGTGGAATATTCTCAGTAAGACTTATCACAGACGCAACACAACGAGCTCCACACTTTGTTTTTTCCCCCCAGATAGGACAACATGCAGCAGGTCCCATCTGGACTCTATTGCCAGCGGCAGAGACTGGTCCAGAGCTAGATCAAGTGGGCCTTTAATCTTAGGCCAAACAGGTCTGATTAAATTCCTAAAATGTAATGAATCCGGGCAGGGATGACATTAAATGCAACCACTGCGAAATGACAAAATAGAAAGATCGTGCTGTGGCATCACAAAGCCTCCCAACTCTCTTCTTTACTTTTAAACAAAACTAAACACCGCAGACCGACAATTTAACCAAGAAGCATCTTTTTTTTTAAGTTTATGTTTTGGGCATTTCTGCTTCATTTGATAATGAGAGAGCTAGACAGGAAAGGCAGGGGGAAGAGAGAGGATGACATGCAGCGCAGAGCCTCGAACGGACTCAAACGCTGCGGTAAGCACTCGGCCTTAATGGCACGACCTTTGTCTTGTGTGCCAACAAGGCGCCCCAAATCAAATCTTGTTCACCTTAAAGTCCAACTCCCACATCATAAAACACCCGCCCAGTTGTGTAAGCGTTCCTTAGTCAGCAGCTCTATTGTTTTTCTTAATTTCTCTTGCACCATGTCTCACGTGCCGCACAAGTAGGTGCTAGAGATATGAGACATTTGCGTCAGTACTCACAGAGGAGACAAACACAAAACAAAATCTCCACAGAGAGATCAGGGCCATACTCTGAAGCCCTGCTACAGTCACCAGGGCTTGGGCTTGGTCCTGGCTAAAACCGCTTCAGACTCCTTTCCATAAACAGATGTTTCTTTCTCCTTGTGGAAAGTTTTGGAAGTATGACAGAGCATTTTTTTTTTCTCTAAATGAGACTCAGTTCCCGTGAGAAGTGCTAGTTTTCCTCATGGTCCCTCTTTACCTCATTTGTCTCATATTTGGAGTATGAGCGCAACATTTTAGTCATTTCTAGAAGTGGGCACGGACAAAGGGCATTGACCTCTCCCTTCAGCAGCCAGATGTGACAGGGACGTTATAGGCCCGGAGAGGCAGACAAAACTCATTAAGGAGACCGGAGGTGGTGGGGGGGGCAGCAGAGTGAGGGAGGAGGTGGAGGATTTTACAGGATACGTGGGGTTTGCTCGTTAAGTGAGCGGGCGTGAGGGAGTTAAAAGCCCCCCATTTGTGAAGCATAGTAGTGAAATGAGCTATTTTCTTTGTTTCCCTTCTCTTTGGAGGACCGAGACGGCTGAGCTGAGAATCATGCTGAAAGTTTAAGGACTTTTTCTTCCAGAGGAAACCTCCATGGAAATGCACACATCGTCTCCTACCGGTAAAGGTTGTTGTTTAAAAATAGACCCAGCCCCTCTCTGCTCTCCTTGTGTCGACACCAACCCCGAGGTACAGACTCACCAAGCTCAACAGGGGAAAGGGGGCAGAGAGTTGGAGGCAGGCGGAGGACTGTTAAGAGACGGGGGAGAAGTAGGAGAGGTGGGGTTAAGTGGTAAAAGTTGATACCCCACCAAAGATGGGTAAATGCCAAGGGGCGGCGTGCTGCATGGTCTAACAACAAGTAAAAGAGGGTGGGGCGCCTCTTAAAGCTCATCACGTACCGGGTGTTCTCTCTTGATATGACCCTCTCAAATATAGAGCCACTATCTATTAATACACTCACGCAAACCAGCCCTGCCCCGCCCTAGCAGCTCCCTTAGGCCTCAGCACCCCCACCCGCCCCTGCCTGCTGCTTCCCCATGGCAAACACTGCTGGTCAAGGCGAAAAGGAAGGAAGCAGAAAGAGAGGAAGAAAGGGAAAACATGTAAATGGGGAGAAAGAGAGGCAGAGAGAAAAACAGATGCAGTGCCAGAGAAATGAGAGAATCAGGGGTAAAATGAGAGGCGACAGTGGATAGGCTTTCAGATAAATGTGTACGGTGTATGTTACCGCTTACAGCCCCCATCCCTCCCTCGCAGTGTATGAGCACTGTTTTTGGGAGCCATCCAAAGGATATTCCTTTCTTCTCTTTGCCAGTGCCAAGAATTTACAGACACGAGGCAGCGGAGCTCCTGCTATTTCATCACATTTCCCTTTGGTGTCTGCAAATCAAACTTTTGCTCCAGAGCTCAAGAACAGTGTGAAAGGGAGAGAGAAAGTGAGACAGAGGGAGTTAAACATGTTAAAATCAACACAGACTTTCTTGAGTCGCCCCCCTTTGTTAAACTAACACCCTTGACCAAAGTTTTGCTTTTCCATCAGGGATATTATCGGCTAAAGTGGAACATAGGAAAAGGCTACAGCCGTCAGTTGTCAGAAGCAGTTTCAAGTGATGATTTAACAGTGAAAATAGAAAAAAAAAATAGAAAAAGTATTGAAAATCAGTTGCACTTGGGAACCTCATTAATTAGTTAATGAATACACAAATAGAAATGGAGTGTATTTTACCTCCTGAAACCAGCTTCCAGAGTGTTGTTGTTCAGTCAACGGGGATTAAAACAGACAAAGAGTGGTGTGGGGTGGGCACATGGAGGGAGAGGGAGTGAGGGGACACAGTGTGCTAACAGCAGGACAGTGATAGCGGAGAGTTCACTTACTTGCATATGTGAAGGCACATAAAGGGCCGGCCAGGGCCAACAGGAGCAGCAGCTGAACATTCATTGTGGTGATAACGTATCTCCTCCAGTCACAACCTTTAGGGACTCCCTTGGGGCAAAGAGCAAGACACCAGAGCCCTCACACACGCCAGACACGCACCAACTGGCCTCTCCAGAGGGGAAGGTGAAGGAAAAAATGAGGTGAAAATAAAGTCTTCAGGGGGAGTTTGGCAAAGTATCAGCCTGAGATCCGTTTAACTTGTAGAAGCAAACAGGCAGTGCCGGGTTGCTATTATAGATAGAGGAAGAAGGAGAGTGGTGGAGGGATGTAGAGAGGACAAGAGAAAAGAGAGGAGCTGTGGCCACTTTGAGGAAGTGGAGAGGGAGAGAGGGACTGGCACACAGCAGGAGAGAGCAAAGAGAGCGTGTGTGAGTGACTGAGCTGAGAGTGGAGGAGGGGTGCTGGTACTGGTGGTGGGCTGGGCGGGTTGGGAGGAGGGAGTCCGGATTGGGGCAGTAAGGTGGTTTCAGCCCTCGTGGTCCAGCCCCGTGTAGGATGTGCTCTCGTCTTGGGGCACAGCCAACCCTCCTGTTTGCAAACCCTGCAATATCACGCACACACTCACAAATGCAAACACACTTGGAAATACCAATAAATACACCGTCGACTTGTTTCTCAAGACAACACAAGCTTTTCAAACTACACTTGGCCTGCTCATACGATTAGAAAGCTAAAGAAACAGGCCTTGAAAATGCTCTGTGAATGAATGGAGCTAAATGTAAACAGAGCTTTAATCACAGAGTTAGGAGCCGAGAGAGAGAGAGAGAGAGAGAGAGAGAGAGAGAGAGAGAGAGAACACAGCTTCAAGTGTTACCTATCAGCATCTTTAACTGTATCTAACTGTTAAAAAGAAAGCAGTGAATGAAACAAGCATCCTTGATGCATCTGTATTGATCTTTTAAACCACCAACCTTGTTCTCACAAAGAAAAGTGGCACGCGTACGTCTGAGGCCGACAGACAGAAGCAAGAGAGCGCTGCTTTTAAAAACAGGTTTCCCCTGAAAAGGTGTAAAGGAGCCGTAAATACAGTTGGAACATCGTGTGACTTTCACACAGGAAAACATCGGTGGTCTGCCCGAGTTTACATGTGATGGAGGGCAAACAAACTGTTGCTTGGCACTAGGCTGACACCTGTTGGACAACAAGCTACGAGGGTCAAAATGGCACAAAGCTGAGTCTCTCTCTGTGCTTTCAGTTTTGTTTGTTTCAAACATGCCGACAACTGATTAAATAACGACAGCAGATGTGAGGTTTGCGCAGTAAAAATGGTTGATGACATTTTAATAAACACTGAAACAGATTTAAACTGTTAAACTGCCATACACAGAGTATTTATAACACACAAAACGCCAATGCCATTTTTTTTTCATCACTTATTTACAATATACTGAAGATATGTACATACTGTGTCTCCTGAAGGACAGATAACAAAATACTTTCTCTCCATTTGCTGTTTTCTTTTTTTCAGTCTGTGTTTTTCAAGGGCAAACATAGGAGTAACATACCGTTATTTACATGGACAACAACACACAAACATACAAGATATACTATATGCTGGTCACTGTAATACAGCATTTAATGGCAATAATAAAGAGTATTTTTCTTTTTTTTTCTTCTTTTTTTATTATGAGACCTTGTTTAGACCATTTGAACAATCACTGAGATCTTCCAAAAAGAAAGAGCACTTTAAGGTCCCAAATTTCACTTTGTACCCACGTAATACAAACAAATCACTTTTTATTTCTCATGTATATTTTTTGAGCTGTATGCTAAATGAAATCTGAGAAGACTATACACACTTGTACACACAGACGAAATTAAACATCACAGTAAGAAAAGTTGAGCATTTGAAACTTTTGTTTAGTTTTCTGCTCCTTTGCTGATCTATTTTTTTTATTTTTTTTTTTAAATGTCTTTTGAAACAAAGAAATATAACGTTCACGGTTTTCCTTTATTTCTGTTCACTAGATGCTATCATGTTTGGTGTTGTGCAAAGAATGCTCGTCGTCTCCCAAATGAGGCATCTTGAAATCACGGCCGACCTTCTCATGCCTGGTCATAATTGATATGCACTTTCCCAAAATTATAAAACCTTGAAACACTGAATTATATTTTACCATTGTTGACAAAGTCCAAGTCTAGCCCCAGCATCTCATTTTTATTTTAATTAGTGTTTGTTGTTTGAGCAACTGAAAAGCCTATTACACAGTATTTTCAGTGAGCTTATCAGCTGACAAATGAAGATTTGAAACACTTTGACCACAGTCACCAGGAGGCTCGCTGGAAATGATCACTGACGGCACCGAACAACACACAGTAACCTAATGTACAGAGATGTAAATGGCTTTGTGTTGGTCTGACGTGGTTTATGAATGTAAACACCCTGAGAACATGGCACTATGGACTGTTACACACACACACACACACACACACACACACACACACACAATGACGACACTTAAAATAAAAGTTTAGACTTGGTTTCCGATGCGACAGAACAAACATGAAGAAAGAGCGGATTGTGGTGCATAGAACTTTTTTGGGCAAAGGAAGCTATAATGGTGCCTGTTTTAACCAGCAGGTGGTGCTTCACTCAACCACCACTGAACAGCTGCACAATCATTTCCTTCCTCTTCATAAATCATCCTTCTAACTGTAGCTGTAAAGAGCTAACACAGATGCCCAGTATTAGAGTGAACAAAGAGATGTTACGAGGAGGAAAGGATGAAATAGTGTGTGAGAGAGGATTTTCTGCAGGGAGTTTGGAAAAAAGACAAAGTTTTCTATTCATTTCAGGCACAGGTGCTGAGACTTTGCAGACATGGCACACACGTTTTTAGCAGGAAACAGATTTAAGAAAACAAAAAGAAAACAATTCACAGACGATTTGACAACACGTTGGCGACGTGTAACCCTGTTGGCACTGGGGGACACAACATGAGACAATTCAGAGAGCTTCAGACTTCATTTTTGCTTTGGACGAGTGTCCAAAGCATGTGTTTGCATCTCGGCTTGGTCCAATCCCGTGTAAGTCTCATTGTTTTGAATGATTGTCTTTAGACTCAACATCCACTTGTAACGGGGGGGGGGGGGGCCAGCAAGATCAGAAAAATGACTTTCGGTTTGTTTTCTGTTGGATTGTCTTCTGTTTTTTCACACAGGTGAAAGGTTTTTCGGCTAGATCCATACCTCACCTGTCATCACGTGTCTCTCTCTCTCTCTCTCTCTCTCAGTCTTCACCTACGGCTAAGTTTAGACGATGGAGTCCCAGTCAAAGTCGTCCTGGATGTCGTCTGTGGCGAGCATGCGTCTCACCTGGAAGTGTCCCAGAGGCAGCCTGTGTTGCTGCTGCTGCTGACTCAGCTGGCTGAGATGACCTGAACGTGGAGGGAGAGCAGAAGACTAAAGACTAGAAGCACACCCAGTGACATTTCAGTGCCACTTCTGCATCACATACTGTATCTGTATTATGTAAAATTACAAGGGGCATCGTTTGAGTCATGAGGAATGTAGGATCCAGTTTTTTTGCAGTTTGACACATACTGGAGACTAAACATCAATGCAGTACTAAATTGCTTGAGTAACCCTTTGATTGTACCTGTTACTTTGTTGATTCTCTGAGCCAGTCTGTGACTCCCTTGTATATTTATAGTTTGTAGTCAATGCACAGATTAAACCGTATTAATAAATATGGTTAATCTACCAACCTTAATAAAAAAAAACTATGAATTATAGGTTCTTTCTGCGTTTTATCAACGTTAATGTGCGAAATTACATCTTGGTTTTACTCCATAGTGTCATATTATTACTATCAAATACTGATGTTGTACCGTCTACTAGTGAAATTCTGATATTGACAAACACACACACACACACACACACACACACACACACACACACACACACA